TCCAGCCAGCCCTAGAACATGAAGCGACCAGAGGAGCCCTCTCTGGACCCATGGGAGCGGCGATGCAGGTGCTCTGCAGACCTCAGAAGCGCTCAGACATGGCAAATTTATTAAAATGCTATTCCTGAGGAAGCCAAGCTAAAGAAACTGCAGGGAGGGGCATAAAAATAAACTCGGTAAATTAAAAATAAAGAGAAACCAATCCTCAGAGACGATGCTTCATTCTTTCCACGCCTTTTGAGGGCTAATGGGAGGATGGCTTTGGGCTGGAAGCAACACAGCTGGTGTCACAGGACCAACCCAAGCAAAGATCATCTCCAGTATTAGCACATCCCTGGGTAGAAGCAAAACATGCAGCCATTTTAGGTTACTTACAGAGCAGAAGGGAAGCCCTTCTCCTGCCCGAGCCTTCATGAAGCTGTTTCACCCCTCACCTGGGAATCCCATTCAGTGTCTGATGATTTAGTGAATAGATTCTTCCCAAAAGCTGACCTAAATTTCTCTTGTTCTGTCCTTGTGATAAGAGAAGGCACCATTGTCCATATAATCTTTTGTAACATAAGGTACTAAAACCTCCCATCATCATTCTCTCCTTCAAGCAGGCAGAAAAGAGCCCAGGGGCCGTCAATGGCCAGACTTTTCGTCCTTGTCTCAGCTGCCCTGCACTGACTTAGGGCCACTCCTCATGGGCCCTCCTCTCCTGCTAGCCCTCCGCCCTCGGCCACAGGTCATCAGGATGTCTCTGAGGGCAGCAGGTGCTCTCTGAAGTAATACATGACACCACAAAAATAAGATATGGGCGTGATTATTTCCAAAGCTGCCCTGCACTTAGTTTCCTGAGTACGTCACCCATCACAAGCTATATTCTTCTCAAAAGACCAGTCTCATTTTGACTTCACTTTGCCAGGACTTAACTCCTTAGTGACTCCTTTCTGGAGCACTTCTTTCTCCCTCTGGTTAGTTGATGGGAATGACTTAAAAGCGCACTGCAGAAAGCCTCTCATGAAGACGCATCTTTGTTTACAGTTACTAGTTGGACAGATTTGCTCCAAACCCGAATCTTAGGGTGAAAAACCCTAAGATTCCCAAGTTTGTATTTTGGGATATTTTACAGGACACTGATATTTTACAGGGAACTTCTGCATTATCTGTCAGGAAAGTAACCAAGTCTATAATCCTGCCAGCAGCACTGGCCTCTGTACTGATAAGATAGTTCAGATGCCGTACCTTCATGACTGCATCTCAATCACGTATCAACCCCATCGTATCCCTACCTCTGGCATCCTACCAAGTCCCCATCCCTTCCACAAAGGTCTTTCCACAGTCCTGCCTTCGCTATGCCTGGAAAATGTCCCTACCCACCATGTCCAACCCTCACCCCTCTTCTGAACTCCCCTAAGTCAACCCAAATGTCCTCTCCCCAGCAAAGCTGCTCTGACGGTCCTCCTCCGCAGACCCAGGTTAACTGGGGTCCTACAGCCCATCGGTCCCTGTATCTGAAACAAAGGCACCCCGCTTCACTGGACCGTGGACCCCACAGCTCCAGGGACTTCACCTAATGCTCTGAGTGTCTTGGTGTCCAGCACAAGACCTAAAACAAGGTGGTGCCACAGCAGTTTTTGAGATTTGGTGGGAGCGTGATCTGAAATTCAAGAGGTCACTGAGGCCAAGAAGGATTCTCTTCTTGTTGCTGCTCCCCACTTCCCCACCCCAGGAAAAAGCTTTTAGGCCTTAGACAAGTATCTCCGTGTCTTTTGACAAATGGATAGACTGGCTTACAGCACAAATTCCAAGATGGACACCTCTCTCCACTCCTTCCTGCTGGGGGATCCCAGAACCCTTTTCAGCTTACCTTCCAGTACCCGTCAGTTTAAAACAACCCTCGCTGCACAAGAAGGACAGTGACTACCCTCCCCCTGTTTGCTGTGGGGAATCACATAGCAGTAATGGGCCTCTATGGGCTCCAACATCCTTGATCCAGAGCTGACCAGGAACTCTCAGCAGTGCTGGCCACTAACCAGTGTTTGAGCAACCAATGAATAATCGTAACTTTGAGCTAAGTCTTTTTTTATTTTTCACAAAGAGCTCCAGAAGGCAAGTAGTTCATCCCTTCTCCACCCTGAAACAGCACAGCAAGACAGACAGTGGAGGGTGCTGGGTGTCAGTTCTTTCTCATTTTCCAGAGTTCCCGTGGCAGGCCCAAGAACACCCAAAGCCTGGCCCACGCCATGTCCTTTGCAAGTTGTAGGAGCTTAGTTCATACACAGCAGCACCTGCACTGCTGGAGTCGGAGTTGTCTGTCCCGAAGATCTCACCTCAGGTTTCTACAGGAATTCAGACGGGCTTTGACCTCCGGAGGCCGAGAGCAGGGACCTCTGCTCTGAGACTTCACTGCAAAGACTGACAACGCAAAGGTCAAATGTCTTGGCGTAAGAACAGAAGGGAGACAGGACCGATAATGAGGTCAAGGAACCTCTGAATGGTTGAAGAGATGCCTTTTAAAAAGAAATGTTAGATCTGCAGCTCACAATGTTCACGAGAAAAGAGCATTGCTTGGGATTCCAGACCTGAGCAGGGAGAAACAAAGGCTGGGCTAACGGAGCCAGAACTTTATTCACAGTCGAACAGTCCTAATCTAAACTTCTAGAATTGAAGTCCATTGTCTTTTAAGAATGAAAGTTCTTTAACCTGTCAGACCAGCTGACAGGGAAAAAGGAAAAAAAAAGTTCTCTATTAAAAAACACAAAAATCAACTTCATGCTCAATGCCCAGCCACCTCCCACCCCATTAAAAAAGTTGTTAAAGCCAGACACACTTGTACGCACTCAAATGTGCAAACAAAATACCAAATACCCAAGGAAATCTTAGGAATCACTTCAGGATTATTCACTAGCTCCCCAGATGTTCTGTTCTCTAGAATAAAAGGAGCCCAGCTCTGACAGCTGTGTCTAAGTAGTAAAATTGGAGCTAAATGAGACCCTTTCATCCGTCTCCTGGCTCATCAGTCAGTGTAGAAGAATATCAGCCACCAGTAAGGAAGGAAGACCAGGGCTGGCACCCAGTGGCAGGCAAGCTGTCTTGTTGCCCTAGGCTGGGGGACCCTCACCTGGGGAGCACTAAGTTTATACATGCAGCACCCCTTCCCTGTGGGCTCTGCTTTGAAGGGTCCTCCCCGAGAGTTTCAGTGTGGAGCTCAGGTTTTGGGTCTGTGCAACCCCCACTGTGTGGCTGCCATGGTGTGTGGACACTGAGAAGGCAGGGTCCTTGTACTTTGCAAGGGTGTTTCTGGAGATAAAGTTTCACGACTTGAGGACGTGAGAACATAAACCTGAGGCAAACCACCATGAGATGTCCTAGGACAGATTGTGGGGTGGGAAAAGGTCACTAGTCCAACTCTGCATTTTACGTGAAACCAATGAAGAGAGCAGAAAGGAGACAGGGAAATATCTTTCGAGAAATGGTGTCTGCCTGAGATCCTGACCCCAAGAGCTCCCCGGGGGTCAGCCTCAGTCACTTGAGCAGCCCTCTGTGTCTAACCAAGTTTCTCACCTTAGATGGAGAATCATTTGTTTCCAATGGCTACAATCCTTCATCACCAAGCCTCCCTGCAAAAGCTGGGCTGGAAAATTCAGGAGAATCAGATTGTCGATGGCATCTACACGGACTGCTCTCCAGGGCATGGTGAACGCTGCAACATCTGTTTCCCTGCCTTATCCCCCAGACAATGTCCTCCCCACATTTTGTAAAATAAATAATTCAACACATAATGAAAAGCCAGGATAGTTGCTGGCCTGAAAACGTGCCCTGTCTCTGAGCAGCGGCTCATAAAACTCGCACCTGTGGCTGTTCCCTGGCTACGGGGAGGGGCAAAGAGTGTGTGATGCTGGGGCAGCTTGTGAGCCCTGGGCAGGGTGGGAGGCACAGCCCGCCCTCGCCCACTATATATTACATTTATCTTTATAAATATGACATCCTGACTAGCGTGGCCACAGCAAAGGAGGCCAAAGGTTGAGTCCTTTTTTCCTCAACTATCTGCACAAACCACCAAATTCTATCCACATGGCAAACTGGACATCTCTTTTTGAGAACTCCAGTTCCATGATGGTCAGGGGCATATCTCAGCCAGACCCAAGTACCCATTCTTGTCAGATAATGAGGACTAAGATTTGTTTTTTTAAAAATAAACACTACTTTGAGGTTGGGCATGGAAGGCAAGGCAAGAGGATCACTTGAGGCCAGGAATTCATGACCCCCAACAAGCAGACCCCTGACTCTACGAAAAAAGAAAAATTAGCTGGGCATGGTGGTATGCACCTGTAATTCCAGCTACTAGAGAGGCTGAGGCAGAAGGGTCGCTTGAGGCCAGGAGTTCAAGGCTGCAGTTAGCTAGCATTGCACCACTGCACTCCAGCCTGGGTAATAGGGCAAGATTCTATCCATATATATTTTTTTTAATCCAATATATTTATATATATATATGTTTTGAAAAAAGGCTCATGTCAGAATTCCTTTAAATAAAAAGCCAATTAATATAGTTTTAGATGCTCTGATTCCCCACCCCCAACTTGTTAACAAAATTTTTCAAAATCACATAAAATGAACCAACAAGCCCGACAGCGTGTTCAGTGACTTGGAGCTTTTAAGGTCACATCTGTCACATAAAACGGACCAACTAGATCAATAAATGTAGTCCAGTGGGCTTGACTACCTTAACTACCTATTTACTGATGTGACAGGCTGATAACTGCCTTCTCTTGGACAAGACTCGAAGCCATGTTCCACATCAATGTGAGAAGCAGTATCCTACGGCCAGTGAGCTGAAAAATTAGGTGTCTGGGCTGACGTTTATCATAATGGTTTCCATAAAGCCTGTCTTAGCCATCTGGGGAAATCTGGGTTTAATTTTCTTATTTTCCTCCACTGTCAAAAATATATTAATTTTGATCTATCACATCAGACCACTTTGGTTAGATGGCTGTGACCACTAAAAACCAAAAAACTGGAGCAAACCGATGAAGAGTCCTTTCAAAAAACCAAATGTAGGTGAACCAGCATGGGCTGCACACCCACGGAACCCTCACAGCTCATCTCTTGAAGGCCCAGCGTCCAACGAGGTTGGCGATGGCAGTGCCTCTGTGTTCTTGGCATTGCTGTGGATGCGACCTTGCTTCCGGGACTTCCAAGAATGTGTCCTGTCCCAGTCGGTGGCTACTGTCTCATTGTCCCAGATGGTGGAGGTCTCCGTGTCACTCAGGTACCCCGGCTGGCCTGTGTAGTGTGTGGGGTAGATCAGCAGGGGTTCCGCGGAGAAGGCTTTCAAATCCCTGGACTCATAGTACTCCTTGTACTCGGTTCTGCAAACGAGAGGTGGCAGGGCATGAGGGACAGAAGGCTCAGGAACAGGGACAATGCGTGAAGGGGCCCTGCTGGTTATCGCTTAATTTGTCATGGATTCATTTCATTATTTTTAAAGTTGTGTCCTTGGTGAAAACTTTAGTCTACAAACACAATAAAGTTTTCTTTAAAAGCTTTCAGAGAAGCTCTTCACAAACAAGCAAGTGAAAAAGTCAGAGTATTTCTCATGTATCTGAATAGACTAGTTTAAAAGATGAGGCCGGGCATGGTGTCTCACATCTGTAACCCCAGTGCTTTGGGAGGCCAAGGTGGGAGGACTGCTTGAGGTCAGAAGTTTAAGACTAGCCTGGTCAACATGTGAGACCCTGTCTCTACAATAAAAAATAATTAGCCAGGTGAATGGTGCGTGACTATAATCTTAGCTACTCGGGAGGCTAAGGTGGGAGGATGGCTTGAGCCTGGGATATCTAGGCTGCAGTGAGCCACTGCACTCCAGCCTGGGGACAGAGAGTGGGAGAGAGAGAGAGAGAGAGAGAGAGAGAGAGAGAGAGAGAGACCCTGTCTCAAAGCAAAACAAAACAAGATGAATTTAGATCTTACCCTGAAAGTTAAAAATTAAGCTGTTAGATTATAATGATAAATAAATGTGATAACGTTACAAAAAATGCCCTGTTTCTGGATGAATAGATGAGACACTGAGGTCTGGATAGCAGCGATGAGTAGGTGGTATGTGGAGGCTTGGAGGCATGCCAGCTTGGCTCTACACTCTAGCCCCCTACTCATCATTCAGGCCCTGACAAGTGTAAAGCCGAGGGATGGCTTGGCTTCCCTCCAGGGCATATGGTATGAGGTGACATCAGATGGCTCCAAGGTCCGTGAGCATCCCCTTCTGCTCAGAGGATAATGGTTTGACCTGCACGTTTCTGCCAGGACGCAGAGATCATGTGTAAAAGAGGACAAGGGGCTCCATTTTCACTGAGGACAGGAGACAAAATGAACATGACGCAGCAGAGGAAACCTCAATAGCTAAAATCAAAATCATCTAGTGAGATCACTCAGCAGCAGAGAGAAGGAGCGAGGTTAGAACCCGGTCTCCTGCTCCATTAGTGAATTTAGGAATCACCGATTGAGCAGCTATTAGGCATAGCATTTGGACTAGGCTGTGAGAACACAGAGATGTAAGAATATTCCTACATCAAAGAGCTCATAGTTTATTGGGGAGAATGACACATAAACTATCAATTGTCACATCTTTTGATAAGTGCTAGGTCAGAGTAAACTCCCGGGTGAGGGGGGTCCTGAGTACCACCCTGTCTTCTGCCATGAATGCTTTGCTGGGGTGTCACCTCTATACCCCTAAACCTCTTACAAACCTCTGTGATCACAGGCATCAATATATATCACAATGATTTGGGAACGAGTCTGGTTCCTGAATGCATTGTGAGCTCTACAGGGATGGGCACCACTGTCTGGCCAACAGCACACACAAGGACCTGAGTCCAGTGGACTGGAGATTTTGAGGTGTGTAGGAAGGTGACCTTCACCTTGAGGTGTATGAGGTTATGGAAGTAAGAAGAGTAATGTCATGGAGAGGACCAAGCAGATTATGTTCAGTTCAGTCACAAACTGGGTATTGTAAAGAACCCATGGAGAGGGGACAAAAGGTGGAGGGATGAAAAACCATCTATTGGGTACAATGTGCACAGATTGGGGAAGTAGGTACACTTAAAGCCAGACCAGAAACTATTTGCATCCCCTAAAGCTACTGAAATAAAGAAAAAAAACCCTCAAAATTTGCTTAAAAATTAAAAATATATAAAGAACCCCTGGGCAAGACACTCACCATGTCTGCCTCATCTTCCCCATCTGTACAAGGGCTAATCACTTGAGTCACACTCTCTTGATCATGATTATGGAAAGATCATTTAGGAAAGCAGTACAACTTCAGAAAACACCAGGTACTACCAGAAACCAAGTAGCAATTCACGAAGAGGCTGTGTCTGAGGGACAGGCCGGTAGCTCAGGGAGACTCACACAGGATGCTTGTTGTACATGATTGGCAGGAACTCATCCACTGGCAGCATCTTCCCAAAAGGATCGGCTCCAACCAGCTTCTGTGCTCCTTCCAGAGAGATGACGTAGCCCAGGGTCCAGTAGGAATAGTCAGCTTCGACCAGATTCACCACATTGGGCACTGCTTTCTCCGGCTCTTTTACTTGCATCCTCTTCCTACCAATATAACTAGAAGGAAATGGGCAGAAGAGAAAAATTCCACTGTGATCATCAGACATTGATAAGGAAGGAGCACAGCTTTATACTGACACCTTTGAAAATGTCAAGTGATCATGGCTTTCGTTAAATGTATCCAACTCTAAAGTGGATTCCATCACCGATCACAACTGCCATCTACCATCGTGGGCCACTTCATTGGTTCCATTTATCAACACCCCAGCTATTCCTGTCTAGTGGAGTGTGTTCAAGCCAGAAAGTGAAGACATTGTGACATTAAAATATCTTTCAGATCACTTCCCGATGATGGGATGGGATTTCTAGCTGTGTTTATAGAGGCTGGAAAGGCACAAAAAAGGCCAGATGTGAGAATCCTAAGTCTGTTGCCTTCAAATCCCCAGAGTTTCAGCCTTGGATGCCTTCTGCTCAGTGCTCCAAGCACTGTGGGTAAATACAGGACAGGAAAATTGGAGAGAAGGGATAGTCTGCAGTGAAGGACCTGGGAAACCAAGAGTGGCCCCAAGGGGTTATTTCTGGGGAGTATGAATGACAGCTCCTCATAGATTTTCTCCCCACACACTCACCTAGCTCTGCCAGACTTCCTCCAGGGCATGCTGGAAAGGCCCCCTAGGCATGTTCTGTCTTCTGTGAACAACTTCAACAGCACAAGCTACACCCTCAGCCACCCCGCCTGCCCCAGTCTACCCATGGGTCTGTGCTCCATTACTCTCGTCTGGAACCTATTTGACTTGGGTTTGACTGGAGCAAGTTGAGGACTTGCCTATCTTCTGCCTGCCAGGTAAGACAATATTTCTTCCATTTTGCCCCTAAACCATCTCTTTTAACATTCAAGGGATCCCCTTTGTCAAAGCATCCCAGGACTTGTAGAACAAGTCTATGTCTCTCCTTCAGCTCCTCTGGGGACATCAAATGTAGATTCACTCAGTCACTGTCTTTTCAGACAACAGCATCTGAATTTCTCTAGAGTATTATTGAGTGGAAGAGAAGCACTTTTGAGCACTTGCAAAGTGACTGGTCTGGTAGAGGAACTGAGTTACTCTTACTAATTTTAATTAATTTAAATTTAAAAGCTGAAGCTGTGTAAAATATTTTTTTTCCATGAAACAAGTTAATTGTTTATTTTTACAGTTGAAAATTTAGCTTCTGGATTGAGATATGTTCTAAGCATAAAATACACACAGGATTTTAAGGTCTTGGTACAAAAAAAAAAAAAAGAATGCACACTATCTCATTAATGGTTTTTAAACATTTTAGTATATAAACTAAATTATTTCAAAATTTTATTTTAAAAATTATTTGTTGTTTTAATTATTTTAGTATATCAACTATGTTTACATACTAAAATTGTAATATTTGATATATTGGGTTAGATAAAATGTTTTGTTTGCTTGTTTGTTTTTTTAGGTCATGGTCTCACTCTGTTCCCAGACTAGAGTACAGTGGCACCATCATGGCTAACTGCAGCCTTGACCTCCTGAGTTCAAGTGGCCCTCCCAAGTAGCTGGTACTAGGCATGTGCCACTATGCCTGGTTAATTTTTAAAATTTTTATGAGAGATGAGGGCTCACTCTGTTGTCCAGGCTGGTCTCAAACTCCTGGACTCAAGCTATCCTCCGGTCATGACCTCCCAAAATGCTAGTATTACAGGTGTGTGCCACTGCACCCAACAAAATGTATTATTAAAACCAATTTCATCTAATTTATTTTACCTTTTTAATGAGATTACTAGAAAATTAAAAATGACACATGTGACTCACATTATATTTCTATTGAACAGTAACCCCGCGATGATTGCAATGATTTTTTATTTTTCCCATTTACTATTTCCTTTTCCTGCAAAATTTTAATGTAGCAATCATGAATGGTTTTTTAGCTTTCTCTTTTTGAGTTTAAGGAACATTTGTTTCTTCTTCATTTTAGAAAGTGACAGGTAAAATTGTAAACAACTATTATACTGTGTAAGACTATACTAATTATAAATTAGGACTATAGTAGATTTTAATGGAATTTTTAACTTGACCAATCTGTGAAATTTAGGAAGCATTTTCCCCCCAGTATTCTTATCAGAACAACTGTTATTTCTTTGATCTGTTGGCACTTTGTCCTGAGAAATGCAACACACATAGACAGGGATATTTGCTGATTCTAAGCCTTAGACTCCCTGAGTTGAGTCCTCTGTAATTAGGAGGCTTCAGTGAAAGCTGCCTTTACACAAGTCATGTGGGCTACATGCCTGTGAGGCCTTAACCACAGGCCACAGAACCATATTCGGAAATGCTGAAGTGCAGTGACTTCTGGAGGACATAGGAAGAAATGCGGATTGCAAGAGACTCCTGGAACACCCAATCTGATCACATGACTGACATCTGGCAGGGAGCAGGTCTTCTCACTACACAGGACTGATTTCTGGTTTATTTTGAATGATTTTGTTGAGCTGGGTTTCTTTTGAGCTCAGAATGGTCCAATTTCTGAGAGAACAAGTGCTCCACTAGGCCCACAGTTAAGTTTCCCTCTGAGGATGGGCGGAGTAGGGATGGCTTGTCTGCTGCAGATGCTCCAAAGGAGCAGAATGGGATTTGATGAATTGCCTCTGACACACAGCTGGGGAGCGAACACAATGCTTGGGGACTTTCTGCCTCATTGGAGGGAAACAGAAAATGTCATTTTGTTTTAAAAATAAAATGAGAGCGAGGGAGAAGGAAAGAAAGAGAAGAGGAGGAGCAGGAGACAGAAGGAAAAAGGAAGGAAGAGAGGGAAGGAGGGAGGGAGAGGGAGGGAAGAAGGGAAAGAAAAGTAGAAACGGGTTTGCTCAACTCCCAGAGGTAGTGTACGTGAACTAAATGCCAGCTCAGAGCCCGCTCTCCCTTGGTGAGCCTGGTTTTCTTGTATCAGCCTCAGATCCTTTTCCACATCTAGCTGTCAGTGCTGTCCCTGTTGTGCAACCTCATTTCTGATTGATTCTCCAACTTCCCATCCGTCGAGGGCTGCAGAGGCAAACTGCTCTCCTGGGAGCAGAGGCTTAAATATGACACAGGACTCTTGCCTCTGAATAAATGCCTCCTCCTCCCTCTTCACACACTCTCCATGTGCCACCTGACTTGGGGGTGGGATTTCTGCTGTGCTCCCAACTGAGTGACAAGTGCCACACCTCTGCTTCATCTGCAGGCCCCTAATCTGCAGGCTGACTACCGGTCTCCTAAAGAGTCTACCATAATTTCTCACCCCAAACAGTACAAGGATGCACAGTCCAGTGGCTAACCTCTACCCATCTTTGTTTCTGAAAATATTTATGGAGAGACAACCAGGTAAGTGGCAGCTTAAGCTGTGTCTCCTACTGGCTGGGGAGGTGGGGCCCTCTGCCCCTTGGAAGGGGCTGAGTGCCTCTCAGTGTTCTTATAAGCTTGTCTTGTCACTTACATCAGTTCCCAGTCCAGCTGAGCCTGTTCAATGTCATCCATCAGCTTCATCAGCTTCTTCTTAAACTGATGCTCAAAACGTACATCATCCTCAATAACAAGAGTCTTCTCTAGTTCTCGGTCAATTACCTGTAAAGGTCATCAGTGGGAAGACACCCTATGAAAAGTTCGATACCCATTTTTTGTTAGACAAATAAATATTGAAAAGTCATGAGTATAGTAGCATACTTTATAAGATCTCATAAATGGAATCTAAGCAAATGCCCATCAACATGGGCAAATAACCATGGATAAATTAACTGTGGCATATTCAAAGTAAGGAAAAAGTATGATCTACAATTAAACACAATGTTTGCCAGGGTATGGTGGCCCATGTTTATAATCCCAGAGCTTTTGAGACGAAGGCAGAAGGATTGCCTGAGACCAGGAGTTCAAGACCAGCCTGGGCAAGACCCTGTCTCTTTAAAAAGTTAGCCAGGCATGGTGGTATGCACTTGGGTGACTGAGGTGAGAGGATCGCTTAAGCAGAAGTTCAAGGCTGCAGTAAGCTATAATCATGCCACTGAACTCCAGTCTGAGTGACAGAGTAAGATTCCATCTCTAAAGAAAATTTTAAAATGCAGTGTTATAGCTAAGTCTGCTATATGTAATATTGAGAAGTTACACATACCAGATAATTCCATTCATACAAAGAATGTATCAAAACAGGCAAAACCATTCTGTCCTGTTAGAAGTCAGGATGGCAATTACTCTTGGGGACTGGTGACTAGAAGGACATACAGAGGGCCACTTCTGAGATGTAACTTGTTTCCTGACCTGGGTGCTGATTGCCATGGGTGTATCATTCAGTTTGTAAAATTTCAGTGAATTGTATCTTATGATCTACATAATTTTATACATATCTATTATATTTCACTTAAAGTTTAAAGAAAAAAGGCACACATAGACTGGATTATTATTATTTTTTTAATTTTTAATTTTAAAGATGTGGGGTACAATTCAGGGCTAGGTATACAAATGTTCATTATGCAGGTACCCTTGTTGATGAAGTGTGCCCCTCCACCCTGGCAGACTCCCACTACTGCCAATCCCTAGACTGGATTATTGAAAGAAAAGCATTCAAGGACTTTTCCTTGGGGACTTCCTCTCTTGTTATGGGAACTGACTCTTAATAAGAAATCCTACATTTCAAAACCACCTCTGTTAATGTGTTGATCTGTAAGACATGGGTTCAAGTTCTGGGTTCACGTTCATGAATTCGAGTTCACTTCTTACTGGACAAGTTACTTAATAATTTCCTCTTGGGCAAAAAGGGTCCATCCCTCCCAACCCAACTCACAGGATATCTGTGTGGCTTACTGTATGAAATCATTTAACGAATGATGGCATAATAGGTACATACAAGGCATTCCTGCTAATGATGAGAGTGCGTTAATAAGAGTGTGGCCCCCAAAACACGATAACCTTCTCCTGCCATCGTTCCAGGTGGCACCAAAGCGACCCCTCTTTGTCCCTTTGTTTCTGGCCTGGGATCAGAAGGAGATACAAACAGGAGCAGCTCTCAAGCATACCCCCAGAACAGTATGGGCTGACTTTATGTCTGACTCTAATTCACTGACAATATCCCACTCTCCCTTTCTCCTCATTGCAAAACTGCAAATCAAAATAAAGCATTATTTACCTCTTTCCAGACTGAGTAGTGGCTGAGAAAGCAGCCGATTTCACCCCTGGTTAGAGGTCTGGAGGAATAGGGGTCTCGATAACCAGGCAGCATTTCAATATTCAGGGCCTTCAGTTGGCTTGTGTTGAGTGTCCTGCATCACAGAGAACATGTCTGAAAACTAACAAGTCAAAGTGTCCTTACCACAAAGGCAAGAGAGACAGAAAAACAGAGAAACAGAAAGAGAGAGAGAGAGAAAGAGAGAACGAGAGAGGGAGAGAGAGAGAGAGAGAGAGAGCAAGCAAGTGAGCAAGCAAGTGCTGTGCATATCCTCCCAGAGCCTCTATTCGTACAGAGAAAGAATTCTCAGGTTTCTCTTTATTCATTATAAATTCCTCAGGGTTAATGTGTTACAGTAGCATTATGAGCTTTTGAAAGATAAGAAGGTGTCATATTTTTATCTGTCCCTCATAGTGCCCAACGTAGTTCTAAGCATTATCTTTTATTTTTGACAACTTTTATTATTATTATTATTATTATTATTTTGAGCTGGAGTCTCACTCTGTCTCCCAGGCTGGAGTGCAGTGGCATGCTCACGGCCACCCAGCGTCTACCTGTTGGGCTCCAGCGATCTTTCCACGTCAGTCTTCCAAGTAGCCAGAACTATAGGCACATGCTACCATACCTGGCTTATTTTTTGATTTATTGTAGAGACGACGTCTCATCAAGTTGCCCAGGCTGGTTTCGAACTCCAAACTCAGGCAATCCTCTCACCTTGGCCTCCCAAAGTGCTGGGATTATAGGCTTGAGTCACTGTACCCGACCCTATTTTTGACAACTTTTAAAAAGTATTCTTCTAATGAAGGAAAAGTGGTTCACATTAAATATTGGAAGGAATGATCACAGGGAGGAATAAGGAGAGGAACTCTGTGATGTGTGTGCATCTTTCTTTTGGACCTAAAATGAAAAAAAGATTAAAAATAAAAATAACAGAGAAGCATTTCCAGAATAGTGGAATAAGGACCTCTGAAAATCTGCTCAGCTATGAAAGCAATGAAGATGCTGTCAAAATGATCCAAATCAACTTTTCCAGAGCTCTGGAAATCAAAGTCTTGCAGTAATTCAAGGGGGTATTTATTCAAGACTAACTGCGGAATCTCTGTTAAAACAGTGAGCTTTGTGGATCCTATACCTCCCCTAATCTCATCCCATGCTGCCCAGTCCTACAGAAGCCTTGAAAACCAACAGCTTCACAATTACAGTAGCTGTGAAAACCAGCAGCTTAGTAGTTACTAGGGGGGACAGAATGAATTAGGACTCCCCTAAAGACCTATCCCCAGAAAATAATTGCCATTTGACCTCTCTGAAAACTCCATGCAAAGCTGCATTCTCAGAGTTTGTCTTAATTGACCTGACTCAGAGTTTATTCTCTCCTTATCTGTAGGGCATTTGTCAAAAACCATCAGCAGCAACTGTTTAATATGACAGCTGTCTGAGTAGCATTAGCAGTTAAGGCTAACAAAAGGCTGACCAAAAAACTTAAACAGAAAAACTGGGGAATAGGAAATTCATAGAAGTTTAAAATGTTCCAAAATATTCCTGAGAATCTAGAAGGTTCCAGGAATAATCAGGGCTGTGCACATGTCCAGGAAAGACCTGAGAAGTCCCTGATGTCTCCCCCGCAGCTGACCTTGAGGACGTGGGAAAAAAGGCAGTGAAGGCAAATGAATTAAACACTGCAATAAAAGGAAGAACTTAACATAATAAGTTTTAAAAAATAATACAACTCTGTGGTATCTACAAGAGACAGACTTTAGATTAAAAGACACAAATAGATTGAAAGTGAAAAGAACAGAAAAAGATATACCATATAAACAGTCAAAACAAGGGAGCTGGAGGAATTATACTAATATCAGACAAAATAAATCCCAGGTAAAATTTATATTAGAGACAAAGAAATGCTTTTTTTAATGATAAAAGCATCAATCTATTAGGAAGACATAACAAATATAATATATATGCACCTAACTACAGAACACCTCCAAAACATCAAGCAGAAACAGGCAGAACTGAAAAGAAGAAATAAACAATTCAGCAATAACAGTGGGAGACTTCACTTTCCAATAATGGATAGAACAACTAGGCAGGAGTACAACAAGGAGACAGAAAACTTAAATAATACTGTAAGCCAACTAAACCTAACAGACATGTATAGAACACTCGATCAAACAATAGCAAAACACATTCAAGTGTAAATCGAACGTTCTCTAAGAAAGGCCATATGTTAGACCATGAATACCAGATATACCAGATAGGTCATAAATTAAACATCAGTATTCTTTTTTTTTGATTTGGAGTCTCACTCTGTCACCCAGACTGGAGTGCAGTGCCCCAGTGTCGACCTGCTGGGCTCCAGAGACCCTTCTGCCTCAGCCTTCCAAGTAGCTAGAACTACAGTGTGCGCTACTATGCCTGGCTAATGTTCTATTTATTGTAGAGATGAAGTCTCGCCAAGTTGCCTGGGCTGGTCTCAAACCCATGTGCTCAGGCAGTCCACTCGCCTCGGTCTCCCAAAGTGCTGGGATTACAGGCTGAGCCACTGAGCCCAGTCTAAAGCTCAGTCTTCTTAAAAGGATTGAAATCACACAAGGTATGGTCACCAATTTCAATGGAATAAAATTACAAATCACTACCAAAAGAAAATGTGGGAATTCACAAAAATATGAAATTAAACACTCTTAAGTAACCAACAGGTCAAACAAGAAATAATAAGGAAAATTAGAAAATACTTTGAGATGAATGAAAACCCAATATATCAAAACTTATGGGATATGCTTTTACTGTACTCAGAGGTATAGTTTCAGCTGCAAATGTCTATATCAAAAAGGAAACTCTCAGATAAATAATCTAACTATCCACCTCCAGAAACTAGAAAAAGAAGAGAAGCTTAAACACAAAGCAAGCAGAAGGAAGAAAATAATAATGACTATAGTAGAAATAAATGAACTAGAGAGTAGAAAAACAATATAGAAAATTAAAAGTTGGTTTTCTGAAAAGATCAGCAAAGTTGATTATCCTTTACCTAAACTGATAAATATAAAAAGAGTAGATTCAAACTATTAAAATCAAGAATGAGGCTAGGTATGGTGACGTATGCTTGTAATCCCAGCATTTTGGAAGGTCAAGGCAGGAGGGTAGCTTGAGACCAGGAGTTTGAGACCAACCTGGGCAACAAAACAAGAAAGAAATAAAGGAAGAAAAGAAGAAAGGAAGGAAGAGAGGGAGGGAGGGAGAAAAGGAAGAATGAAGGAAAGAAAGGAAGGAAGGAAGTGAGGAAAGAAGGAAAGAAAGAAGGAAGGAAAAAAATAAAAAGAACTGGGCACAGTGGTATGTGCCTGTAGTTCCCCAGATCAATTGAGCCCAAGAGTTTAAGGTTGCAGTGAGCCGAGATTGTGCCATTGCACTCCAACCCAGACAACAGAGTGAAACTCTGTCTCAAAAACAAACAAACATATAAATAAATAAAATCAGTACTGAAAGAAGGGTTATCCCTACTGACTTTATGGAAGTATAAAAGATTATAAGATAATACTATGAATAATTGTATGCCAATAAATTTGATAACTTAGATGACAGAAAATTGATAGAAAAGTACAAACTATACAAATTGGCAAGAAGAAATAGAAATTATTAATGTACCTATAACAAGTAAAGAGGTTGAATTAGTAATCAAGAAATTTCTCACGGAGAAAAGTTCAGAACCAGATGAATTCACTGGGTAATTCTGTCAAATGTTTAAAGAATTTTTAACATTAATCCTTAACAAACTCTTTCAAAAAATAGAAGAGGAGGGAACACATCCCAGCTGATTTTTTGAAGCCAGTATTATTCTAGTACAAAACCAAATAAATTATAAGAAAACTACAGACCAATATCCCTTGTTAATATAGATGCAAAAATCTTTAAGAAAATATTAGCAAATACAATCCAGCAACATGGAAAAGGGATTATACAACATGACCAAATGGGGCTTATCCCTTGCAATTTTGTTTTTGCATGTGATAATTAAAGTGTACCCTATTAATAGACAAAAGTCACATGATCATCTCAATAGACATAGAACAGGCATGTGACAGAATCCAACACCCTTTTATGATTAAAAAATACTCAACAAATAGGAATTAACAGGCAACCTTCTCAATAAAGGCCCTCTGTGAAAAAACTCACAGTTAATAATACACTTAATGGTGAAAGAATGAATGAAAAATTCTTCTCTCGCTAATTTTATTCAACATTGTTCTTGATGACCTAGCAAGGGAAGTTAAGCAATAAAAAGAAATAAGTGGTATCCAAATTTGAAAGGGATAAGTACTGCTATCTCTATTTGTATATGGCATGTTACTTGCGTATCAAAGATCCTCAGGAATACACATACACAAAGAAAAACACTGATTAGAACTGATAAAAGAGTTCATCAAGATTGCAGGATACATATACAAAAATTAATTGTATTTTTATGCATTTAGCAATGATCAATCTGAAAATGAAATTAAGGAAACAATTCTATTTACCATAGCATCAAAAAGAGTAAAATACTTAGGCATGGTTTTAACAAAATAAATGCAAATCTTGTACACTGAAGATGACAAAACATCATTCAAAGAACTGAATAAGATCTAAATAAATGAAAAGACCGCCCATGATCATGAACCAGAAGACTTCATATTGTTAAGACAGTAATAACCCCAGTTGATCTACAGATTCAATGTAATTCTTATCAAAATCCCAGCTGTTTTTGATTTTTTTGTGGAACTTGTCAAGTTTATCCTAAAATTCATATGGAAATGCAAGAAGTCTAGAAGAGCTAAAACAATCTTGAAAAAGAAAAACCAAGTTGGAGGACTCATACTTCCTTACATACAAAGCTACAGTCAAGAAGGTTGTGTGGTACTATCATAGATAGACATATGAGGAGGAACCAAAATCAAAATTATCTTTTTGGAGAGTGAGCCCCTTTTAGTACAGGCTTTCCCAACTCATCAGTGTTTGCATCAGTGTTGTTGCGAGAGCCTGTGTTTCAGTTTCAGTGAATTTTTTTGACGATTCTTTCAACGAGTTTGCTCATTTCATGATGGGTGATTTACAGCACACCTGCCCACACCTTGCTGAACTTTCAGCAGTTTTTTTACCAGAAACAGCATGAGACCTGTGCCCCACCCTCCCTTTTCACTGGATCTTGACAGGAGCAATTTTTTTCCCCCATTAAAAAAGTCCTCAAAGGGAAATGTTTTGCTGATCTGGAAGAGGTGAAACAAAAAACAGCAGAAGCACAAAAAAGTATCACAATCGACAAGTTCAAAAACTGTTTTGAGCAGTGGAAAAAGTGTCTCTCTCAACAGGCGTATTGCATCAAATGGAGAATACTTTGAAGGTGATTGAAGTTTAAGTATGTAAGAGTAAATACACAGTTTTTTATAAATAAATTCTGGGGTTTTGAGGGTCCCCTTATATAAATAAATCAAATATAATTGAGATCTAAGAAATAAACCCTTACATTTATGGTCAACTGATTTTTGACAAAGGTGTCAAGACAGTTTAATGGGGAAAGATCAGTCTTTTTACAAATGGTGACGGGACAAATAAATAATCATGTGAAAAAGAATGAATCTGGATCCCTCCCTCATACTATATACAAAAATTAGCTCAACATGGAGCAAAAACCTAAATGTAAGCAATAAAACTATAGAATTCTTAGAAGAAAACATAGAAGTAAGTCTTCATGGCTTTGGATTTGATGATAGATTCTTAGCTATGACACCAAAATCACAAGCAACAATAACAAAAAATAAATTTGTATTTCATCAAAATGAAAAACTTTTTTGCTTCAATGGACATCACCATGAAGTGTATCAGTCCATAAACTAAGAGAAAATATTGGAAAATTATATATCTGATAAATAATTTGCATCCTGAATATACAAAGAGCTCTCACAACACAACTAGGTTGCCTGGTCCATGTGGCCTATGAATAGGATTGGAGCTTTTGGGGGTCTCTGAAACAGTGATTCCTAAACTCTCTTGCACCCAAGACTAGGGCTGCCAGATTTAGCAACTAAAACTAGAAAATACCCCAACAAATTTACATTTCAGATAAACAATGGATAATTTTAAAAATATAACTTAGCCCCATGTAATACTGGGGACAAATTTCACTGGATATACTGTATTTGATGTGGTAACCCTAGCCAAGAATCACCATGGGGATTCTTAAATGCAGATCCTGGCCCCAGCCCCAGAGAGCATGATTCAGCAGCTCTGAGACAGACTCAGGAAGCTGCCTTATGAACTACCCCTGAGGACTCTGATGTGGGTGTCCAGGCCACACTTTGAGAAACACTGATGAGATTCTCTAAGGCAGTCATAAGAAGTTCTTCAATAGCTGCTAGCCACACTTCTTAGTTGGGAATATGCAGATAGAAAATGAAGCCACTCCTGTTCCGAACTAACGTACAACATGGAAATGCAGGTTTGTAAAATCTATGCCTTGAAATATTTTGGGATATCAGATAAAAGGGCAAGGCCAAACAAAACAAACAAAAAATAATAAGAAAAAAACCCATGAAGGAATCCAAACAAGATGCCTGCATGATTTTCCTGTCATATTCCCAGGAAAAGTAGCCACTATGAACAGATGTGGCAGGCATCTCATGGAGCTGGAAATGTAGACCTTTGTACATCTTTCCATCTATTTTCTTTTGGTTGCCCAAGTGTCAGCACTTTGTTCTAAATCAGGCTCTGAACACAATTCTGAATGCATTCCTTCTGTTACACTACAGAAAGCTGGAAACCACAACCATTGCAAGAACCCCCAGAGACGGGACAATCACATCTAGTGTGAGCCTTCAGTGTAATGAAGACCAAAGATCACTGGATGGAGAGTGTATGCAATTAACTTAAATGTTACCATAGGTGACACATGGTGGTTTTCAATATGTGTCTATCCTCTAATGACCCAAGTGTCTTAGAGTCCCACCCAGGATTAACTCTCTGTCAGAGAAAGCACAGCCTCACTCCAACCACATCTATAAGGAGAAAGAAAAAGCAACTCACTTTCCATCCACAGCCTCGACAATCTTGACCTCAATCTCCTGTTCGTACAGTGTGCGTAGCATTCGGTCTCGCCTGTCCTTCCTACGTTTGAGGTTTATCATGAAAATCTAATGCAGGAAGAAAAAGGGAAAAGAAATGTATATTAGTCAAGTCTATTTCAGGCTGTTTGAAAAGTTTAGTACATGTAAGGACTAAAGTTTTAGGTAAAATAAATGGAAGGGACAGAGAAAACGTAAAAAATTTGTTTGTATCTCTGCTTAGTTCTCATTTATGGTAAATGACATTAATCCAAATGGAATTAATTTCAAAACTCAGCTACTTTTAGTGACTTAACTCTTTTTGTTTCTCTGATGTTTGTTGATAAATATGTTCTCCCTGCTCTTGAGATAAGAAAGTTCAAGAAGTTATTCCTTTTTTTTTTGAGTTGGAGTCTCACTCTGTTGCCCAGACTGGAGTGCAGTGGCATGCTCCTGGCCACCGCAGCCTCGACCTGCTGGGCTCCGGCAATCCTTCAGCCTCAGCCTTCCAAGTAGCTGGATCTACAGGTGCATGCTACCACGCCTGGCTAATTTTTTATTTATTGTAGAGATGAGGTCTCGCCAAGTTGCCCAGGCGGGTCTCGAACCCATGGGCTCAGGCAAATCCACTCACCTCAGCCTCCCAAAGTACGGGATTACAGGCTGAGCCACTGAGCCCAGCTAGGAAGCTATTCTTTAAGAGATCAAAGGTGGTCCTTGCTTGAAGACAACATGATCTTATATTTAGAAAAACCTAAGACTCCACCAAAAATCTATTAATACTGATAAACATATTCAGTAAGGTTGCAGGATACAAAATTAACATAAAAATATGTAGCATTTCTATATGCCAATAGCAATATGAAAAAGAAATCAAGAAAGCAATCCCATTTGCAGCAACTTCAAAAAATAAAATATCTAGGAATAATTTCAAAGAAGTTAAAGGTCTCTACAATGAAAACTATAAAACACTAATGAAAGAAATTAAAGAGAACATTAAGAAAAGGAAAAGTAGGCTGGGCTTGGTAATCCCAGCACTTTGGGAGGCCAAGGCAAGTAGACTGCCTGAGCCTGTGGATTCGAGACCAGCTCGGGCAACTTGGCGGGACCTTGTCTCTACAATAAATTGAAAGTTAGCTGGGCACGGTAGTGTGTGTCTGTAGTTCTGGCCACTTGGAAGACTGAGGCAGAAGGATCACCAGAGCCTAGCAGGTTGACACTGGGGTGGCGAAGACTGTGTCACTGCACTCCAGCCTGGGCGACAGAGTGAGACTCCATCTCAAAAAAACAAAACAAAACAAAACAAAAAACTGAAAAGTGGCCCATGTTCATAGACTGGAAAAATGTCCAAACCACCTAAAGTGGTAAGATTCAATGCAATCCTTTTCAAAATACAAATGACTATCTTCACAGAGTAGAAAAACTAGTCCTAAAATTTGTATGGAACCACAAAAGACCCTAAAAAGCCAAAACAATCCTGATCAAAAAGAACAAAACTAGAGGCATCAAACTACTTGATTTCAAAATATACTACAAAACTATGGTAACCAAAACAGCATGATACAGGCATAAAGACAGACATGTAGATAAATGGAACAGAATAGACAACCAGAAATAAACCCACACATTTACAGCCAACTTATTTTTGGCAAGGCACCAAGAACATACATTGGCAAAAAGATAGTCTCTTCAATAAAAGGTGCTGGGAAAATGAGATATCCATATGCAAAAAATGAAACTATACCCCATCATTCACTATATACAAAAGTCAAATCAAAATAGTTTAAAGACTTAAGTATAAGACCTGGAACATAAAACTACTAGAAGAAAACTAGTATGCTTCAGGACATTGGTCTGGGTAAATATTTTTTGAGTAAGACCTCAAAAGCAGAGGCAATACAAGAAAAAACGGATAAATGAGATCACATCAAGTTAAAAATCCTCTGTACAGTGAAGGAAATAATAGAGTGAAGAGACAACTTGTAGAATGGGAGAAAATATTAGCAAACTATCCATCCAACAAGGGATTAATAACCAGAATATATAAGACACTCAAGCAGCTTAAAACAAAAAGAAACCTAATAAAAATGGGCAAAATATCTGATAGACATTCTTCAAAATAAATGACCAGCAGGTATATGAAAAATGCTGACCATCACTAATCATCAGGGAAATGCAAATCAAAACCACAATGAGGTATCATCTCATCCCAGTTAAAACGACTATTATGATGGTACATGCCTATAACCTCAGCACTTTGAGTGGCCAAGGGGAAAGGACTGCCTGAGCCCAGAGATTCAAGACCAGCCTGGGCAACCTGACAAGACCTCATCTCTACAATAAATAAAAAAATTAGCCAGGCGTGGTGGTAGTTGCCTGTAGTCCCAGCTACTTGGAAGGCTGATGTGGAAGGACAGCCTGAGTCCAACAGGTCGAGGCTGTGATAGCCATGAGCATGTCACTGCCCTCCAGCCTGGGTAATAAAGTGAGATATTGACTTATAAAATGAGAAGATTGAGATAAAATAAAATAAAATAAAATACTATTATCAAAAAGACAGAAAATAACAGAAACCAGCAAGGATGTAGAGAATGGGGAATACTCATACACAGCTGTGGAAATATAAATTAGGACAACCACTATGGAAAATAGTATGGAGGTTCCCCCCAAAACTAAAAATAGAACTAACACATTAGCCAGCAATCCCATTGCTGGGTATGCATCCAAAAGACAGGAAATCAATATATCAAAGAGGTACCTGCAATTCCATGTTTATTGTAACACTATTCACAATAGCCAAGATCTGGAATCAACTTAAGTGCTCATCAATGGATAAATGAATAAAGAAAATGTGGAATATAGACACAATGGGATATTATTCAGTCATAAAATGAGTGAAATCTTGCCTTCTGCAGCAACATGGATGGAACTGGAGGACATGATGTTAAGTGAAATAGACAAATATCACATGTTCTCACTCATATGTGGACGCTAAAAAACAATTGATATCATGGAGGTAAGGAGTAGAATGGTGGTTACAGAGGATGGGAATAGCAGGAAGCAGTATGAAGAGGCTGGTTAATGGATTCAAACATACAGTTAGAGAGAAGGCATATGTTCTAGTGTTCCATAGCACAGTAGGGTAACATGGTTAATAAGAATTTATAGTATAATTTTTAATAGTTGGAAGACAAGAATGTTTCTAACACAAAGAAATGGTAAATATTTGAGGTGATGAATATCCTAATTACATTGATTTGATCATTACACATCCTATGCAAGTATCAAAAACCACATTTACCCCATAAAGCTGTAAAACTATTATGTATCAATAAAAATAATGCCAGCGGGTGAAAAAAAAAGAGGCCAAAGGTGAATTAAACCCCAGACTTACCACACTAAAGGGTAGGAGACAATTTCACAAGTGATTACATTTATCAGCAGACTTGAGTTGAAGTCCGACTGTTATTTGTTGTTTGCCTTAGGCAGTTTCTATGCCTCAGTTTTCTCATCTGTAAAACTGGGATAATAATGGTCCTATCTCATAATTACTACTTAACAATATCATTATAAGTTACATCCACTGTAGATAAATTTAAAGTCTTTCAAAGAATAAGAAAAATCAAGGCCGGGCTCGGTGGCTCAGCCTGTAATCCGCGCCTTTGGGAGGCTGAGATGTGTGAATTGCCTGAACCTGTGGGTTCGAGACCCGCCTGGGCAGCGAGACCTCATCTCTACAATAAATCAAAAAATCAGCCGGGTGTGGTAGCGCATGCCTGTAATTCCGGTTACTTGGAAGGCTGAGGTGGAAGGATCGCCGGAGCCCAGCAGGTGGAGGCTGCGGTGGCCGGGAGCGGCCACTGCACTCCAGTTTGGGTGACAGAGTGAGACTCCAACTCAAAAAAAAAAAAAAAGAAAAATCAAAAGTTATCACACATGGCTTCTATTTCCAAAGATGCCAAACCAAGGTCTCAATTTTAGGAGCTTCCTCACCAGAATTCTCCAATTCCCCTAAAACAAGGGAATTTTTCTGAAAGAAGTGAAGAGAATGGACTCTGCTGTTGGGAGTAGCCCTTTGACAAAAGTTAGGGAGAAACAGAAAGGCATAATTTCTATGTGGATTTGTAGGAAATGCTATAGAGAGGACACCAACAGGTCCTTGAAGTAGCAAAGAATGCAAATTCAAATGTCCCCTGTGAGGGTTCGGTTCACTTGCAGCCCCTCATCTTAGCTCCCAAATTCCTGACAGCTACACAAAATACATATGCATCATGAGGCAGATTTACAGATAATGAGGCTGTGTTCACTATTACCAGAATTAAGGAACTATAGAAGTATCTAAAACCTCTTGAATGCTATTACAGGTGAATTAGTGTTTTAAATAAGCACCTGTTGCCAAAAGCAGTAATAAACTTATTTTGAATGTTAAACTAGTCCACCAAGATTGGGAGACTTTAGCTGCCAGCAATACAAGATGATGGCATAGAATGGTAAAGGAGAACCTCCAGGAATAAGTCAGATGACGTTGACTTCATCCTGACTAACCATCTGGTGGACTTTGAGGAAGGCATTTAATGTGTCTGGGTGCAATTCCCTTGTCTGTAAAAAGAGAGAGTTGAACAAATTCATCTTTCAAGCTCAGTGCAGATTAAAATATCTGAGAGGTGATTTATAATAAAGTTTGCATTATACTAAGACCAGAATAAAAGAGAAATGATGCCTTATAACCAGTCTGGAGTTCAGAATATACTGTGTTAAGATCTGGTTCATATGGCCATTCTGAATACAATCATAAATTTCTTTTATAGTACCAAAAGCTACATTCACCAAAATTTCCATCCTTCCTTGAAAAATATTCTTATTTCTAGTCTAAATATTTAAATTCTTATTTCTATTGTAAATATTTAAGTAATATCTAAAATATTCTATTTCTTATTTATAAACCCCTGGGCAAAGAAACTCATGGGGGAGCAAGATGTTTTCTGGGAAAAATCGATCTACCTGATTTAGGGCCAAATAGATTAAGTGCATCCTAATTTTATTATCTCCCTTGTTTACCTAACGGGGTAGTTATTTTGCAAAAAGCATAATTTCTGTGGTGATTCTATTTGCCTCATTACTTGGACTTCCTAGCTTAATGGGTAGCTGTGTTCTTTTATTTAGAATCACGCTATGATGGGCCATGTCCCACGCCCCAGTTTTACAGATATAGAAAGGAAAGGGCATTTCCTCATGTGTAAACATGGAGCCGCTCTCTAGGGGGTCACCCAGGAAAGCAAAAACAAAACAAAAAACAAGCAGAAATGTATCTAAAAAAATCCCCTCAAACCAGAGAAGGTATTTTCATACCTTCTAGTCCCTCTAGTCTGGGAAGACTTTAGTAAATAACAATCCAGTCCCAGTTCTTCCAGGACAAGTGCAATAAAACTGTAGCCACGAAGGAAAAACACAGACAGCTCGCTCATGCTTAGTGAAGAGTAAACAGGGAAAAGAGCCGCACAGCCAAATGCAGCCCAGACACCACCAGTGAGGTCACAGTGTGCTAGGCAGATGGAAAAGGGCCTTGAAAAACCCTGTTTTCTACCATCCTATCTCTGTTGCAGATGGAGAGATAATTACCCCAGGCTCAGGGAAGTAGAATCTCAGCCTGTGTCACTTCCCAGAGTTGGCATTTTCCCAAAGGGCTCTACTCTTCTTCACTCTTTATACAATTAAAACTTAATAACAAATATGGCTTTCGGAAAGCTATTATGAAGTTCTTGATGGCTGAAAGGCTGAATTTTAGAACAATTCTCTCTTTTTTTCTCTTTCTTTGTCCATTCAAACTTGCCCTTCAACCTTTTTCCATGGAAGAATCTTAGAAAGAAAATAAAGCTTGGTGTGTTCTAGGATAGTCTCTACCTACTCAGATGTGGCAGAATAAAGTTAAAGACCTCCAATATCTAAAACATATATCCTCTTTACTCTACCCTTGACACTTCATTTACAAAGTTGATAAAATATGGCATTATTTGCACTTGGAAAATAGAAAATTTACTTTTATTCCTAAATGGTAACATTTTTTTCTAACTCAATGATTAATTCCCTTTTACCATGATCCTTCATTTTAAAGATAAGAAAACTGAGGAGCAACAAAAACCAAGCAGTTTTCCCATGACTTCAGAGCCTTTTCAGCAGCCGAGCCAGCTAGTCTTGCTGGCTCTCAGACACACGCTCAGGCTTGTATTCCAACATAAACATATAAGCATGCAACATGCATGCATACCCATGCTCGTGCACACACACACATAGACACCTTTCCTACCTCATCAAATCCCATCTTGTCTGGATATTTAGGGACAACTGAGACAAACTGGGAGGGCTCCATTGGAGGACGGTCAACTGGAAGACACAAGAGACATGCAGAGTGCTTTGTTAGTAAGGAGATCAGAAACAGAATTCCATTGGCACACTTGATCTCTTCTAGGACTGGAACACAACGTGAATATACAGGCCTCAGTGGTTCTCCAGGAGTGAATGGCTACCCTGGAACTCTGACGGTCAGAGGACTGGTTTCAAGAGGCCTTGTTTATGTGCAGGCAGCAATATTTGCTTCATTTCTCTTAAGACTTATTTTAAGAGCATTTGGGGGCAGTTTAGGGTAATGGTTAAGAGGGAGGGCTCTGGAGTCAGATGATCTGGGTCTAAACCATGGCCCAATAAGACCTAAGAGAGTTAGAAGACCTCTCTAAGCCTGCTTCTTTGTGTTTGAAATTGGGATAATAGAAGTATATCTCTTACTGTGTTATAAAATATAAATGAGTGTGCAACATAGTCACCTCATCAGCACAGTAAATGCTCTATAACTCTTAGCTATTTTATACTATGGCCCTTGATGAAAGAACTCAGAAATAGTCTAGATTTTTTTCTGAAGAATGCTTTTTTCTTTTTTACTATGCATGTAAAATTGTCAAAGTCCGGGGCTATTTTTATCCCATCCGGGCAAGAAGTCCTTTGTTTTAGCATGATTAGAGGTAACTCTGAGGGCTGGCCCATATGCCAGAGCCCACAACAGGGCTAATGGGGAGACTCGAGCTGGGAGTGATGTTGCATCTTAAGTCATAAAAGTTTTATTTACTTGATACTCCAAAAGAGCATTCTTTACAAATGATATATTTTAAAGTTTGGAAGTAATTCTAGTTAAAAACCTGAGAAGGCTTTGAAGATTTTTTAGTACTATACAAATTGAAAGTACTGATTTGATTTTCCTTAAAAGGATAATACAAGAAAACTTAAAGTGCGAGCTGGTAAATGAATTGTTTAAGAACGATTGGTAATGGCTGTCACTACTATAACTAGTATGTATCCTCTTCTGTTCCAGGCACAGCAGAGGAATACACTTTCTCGCCCTTGAAATTACTCGTGGCCTTGTGACTTTCCAGGAAAGGTTTAAATGACTGCTGCTCCACTCTCTAAATTCTCCCCGCTACCCTGTCCCAGTCCCACCACAATGATTATAATAGCATGTGCCGATAGGAAGAAGCCACAAATTTAAGCGGCCTAGAATGTTTCACAACACATGGAGAACAGCTGCCCAGGAAAGACTCCAGAACTGAAGATTTTGAATAGGAAGAAAACCATTGTATTAAGCAAATAAGATCTTGATATCCCTACATAACATCATCCATCCTGACTGAGACACTGTCCAAAGGGTATGGTCTGTTTAATTTACCCTTCACTGAGATATTAAGGAGAAATCATGGCATTCAGTTTCACTTATGATCAAATGATATGAAATTCTAGAAGGTAGTGAGATAGGTTTCCTAAGCCAAGCACAAGAGTTTATCTCATCACTTCAAAACTAACATTCACAGTTACGTTTCTATGAGTACACAGTGCATGTGTTTCTTCTTCCGATAGCAGCCCAAAATATTTTGGTCCTTTCTGTTTCATTCCACTCCTTGTTAGTTTCTTTTAAAAATCAACAGGGAGGGTCCACTGTGTACAGGGTTAGATTTTTGTTTTGTTTTGTTTTTTGAATTGGAGTCTTATTCTGTTGCCCAGGCTGGAGTGCAGGGGCACACTCATAGCCTCCACAGCCTCGACCTGCTGTACTCAGGTGATCTTTCTGCCAAGTAGTTGGAACTACAGGCATGCACCATCATGCCTGGTTAATTTTTCTTGATTTATTGTAGAGATGAGGTCTCACCAAGTTGCCCAGGCTGGTCTTGAACCCGTGGGCTCAGGCAATCCTCTCACCTCGGCCTCCCAAAGTGCTGGGATTAGAGGC